AAAAAAAAAAAAAAAAGGGAAGCTCAGATAACTATATATTCCAGATTTTTTACAAGAAGAAAGAGGATGGCTACACTACAAATATTAACGCAAACATGTGCATAGTGTAGGAGGCAACAAAATCTAGAGTGTGACAAGAACAGTTAACCTGTTCCCCAGAAGAGCATGTAGTTGAATGATAGTCTGTTCCTCCTGTAAACTGAATTTCCCTCGTTTAATATCAGGTCTGAGGTAGTTAGTCCATCTTAGTCTACAGCTCTTTCCACACCTTTGAAGACCTATAACGAGATATGTACTTGATCAGCTAAGACAAACGAGTTATATCAAGAAGTTGGCTTGTAATACACAGAAAAGAATCGGAAAAAGGTTCACCAGCTTTGGCCGGTAGGGCTCTCCAGCTTCCATGACCATGTTCTTCGATGTAAGCTAGGAGTTTCTGATCTTCTTCAGGCGTCCACGGACCTTTTTTCAGGCCAACCTTCTCACAGCAAGGAGATCGGCCCATTTTGGATCCTAAACAGGCGAAGAAGGTGAGAGGTTTATGCCTCTTTTAGTGGCATATATGACACAGAAGATGGAAGAATTGAACGGAAAGAAGAAAATTGATTTGAAGAAGAAGAAGAACAACAACAACAACAGGAAAAGGGTTACACCATGAAGGAAGAGAGATTGATAAGTACAGATATGGGCAAAGAAGAAAGGTCAGCGACATATATGGGATAAAGAAATAAATTCTGATCAGAGTATGTGCGAAATTGTATGACAAAAATGCCCTTAGATTCCTTTGATTGAAGTTGAAGCAATACATATTCCATGTTGCAGTTTTACTCAGTATAATAAGAGAATGAATAAACGAAGAAGAGATGGTTGCCCCAGCCTCCAGTGCAACATTGCAGCCTCACAACGGTACACGTAGTGCAGCAAATTATTAATATGGCCTGTTCAAGTCCCATTGGCAGGCACCAGGCAGTTCTTGATTAGGCTACCTAGGCTACGAGGTCACTTTCGTCTTTGTACATATATACATAACATCTACGGCTAAACCCATTTTGGGCGAGGCCGAATGTCAAGAGTCAAGACCCAAACCGAGTCCATCCATCCGTGAACAAGTTAACTCAGTGTAGTGAATGTGCTGAAATCTACTACATGGCGAGCGTGGATTTGGGTATATGTTAGTGTCCAATCAACCTCGATTCCCAGGATTTGAAATGACTATTCTCTGCACAAAGCTTTTATGGAATTCACACATTAACAACAGATATACGTTTTTCCGCGAGTAGTCCTCTAGAGTCTAAATTGCTCAACTCCCTCGCCAAATTCCCAATCCACTCTGAGCCGCCACGCACCTACTCCTAAATGGCTAAATCCTAATTCAAAGGAGAAAGAATACCGACCGAGTCGTTGAGTTAACTCGCTCTCGAATCCCTATTTCATACAGTAAATGGGTGGACTCCGGGTCACAAGTTCGGGACATAATTATTGTTGTTTTAGAAAACTGGCCACTTTTAGATAGGTTTGCTTTATTTTGGAACCGTGGAGTTTGGTGTGAATTCGATCACCAACTCCACCGCAATATATCATGCGTCATGCGATTCCGCTCCCCAATCATAGAAACGATGATAAAGAAGCGAAATGTAAAGACGATTTTACCCTGGCATCACGTTACGGAGACCTTGTTCTGAAGAAACACAGGGGCATGACCGTCTTTTCAGTTGTTTACCAGCTAATTTAATACAAGTCTTGTTCATAAATATGGGTCCGTAGTCCAGGGGCCCAGTGGACTTGATCCAGTAAATGAGCTTGCACGAGTGGCAAGTAGTAAATGATCCACTACCACTACGATGTGGATTGTGGAGCGTAAAGCCTAAAGCGAGCCCCAAAAATATGTACAGGGGCAAAATGGCCAATTGGGGGCTGTGTAGCGAATCTACACGATGGCTCTCGTAACACTGTACACACCAATGATGACCTTGATCGGGACACGTTGCAGTCATGCAAGGGGTTGTTAAAGCAGGCCCCACCCATGACCCACCCATAGGGATCTTTGAACTTTCTTGAAACGCCCCTAGTACAATAGTACTGCAGCATTGTGCTTCGCTGCTGTTTTTACCTTAGAAAAGAAGTAGGATCGGCATCGGCATATTGTGATGTTACCGAGCTCCACGTGGAAAGGTAAGTTTTTTGATTTATAACGGAAGGAAGGAGCATCTCTCGATAGTGGAACATGTGTCGTGGGGTACGCTTGGTTTTGATTGATTGAATTTAATCATGAGAAGACAAAAAGAGAGGGGACCCACCAGGAAAAGGCAAAAATAGCAAACATTAGTGTTTGTGGTCAGTTTTGAAAGGGACTTAGATGGTATTGGGTGGAAAGGACAGTAGGGTCAGCCTCTTTAATTGATTTGATCCCTGCCAGCTCCGGCCTCATCCTTTGTCCAAACCTTGGTAAACACTTGTCAATGACTACACGTCACACTTGTTCCACACTTAGGGCTGCACATGTGGCGTGTGAAAATCAGAAATCTGCATTAGGCTTATGGGCACTTCTCAAAAAAAAAAAAAAACTACAAATGTGGCGTGTGATTTGATATAATGTATCCCCACTATAACGAGTCATATCCTATGAGCTGAGCCACCATTGATTCATTTTTGTGACCCTACCTTGAATGAATTGGACGAATTGACATTAAGATGGGGCCACAGTAATACATGGAGGGCTATGATTTCATAGTTTCAATCCAACCCTAAAATGATTGCCCTCGTTTTCTAGCCTATAAAGATTATTGCTCAAATTTGTCTGATTTTCTTCTGAAAAAATGTATCCAATTATATATAAAAAAAGCGAATGAATTAATTAAAGACAAAATCATGCATATTGGGCTAGACTATCTATCATGATTGAATATGCCACTGTTCACTACAGATGGATTCCACAGCGAGCACCGGCGTGTTCACTTGTGATAGGTAATTCAGCCGGGTATTTATAACTTTGTCTCCAGCTCATCTGGACCGATGAAAAAAATGCATAATAACAAAATTAAATAATATTAAAAAGAATTAATGCCCAACTAATATCTGAAATGGCGGATAATAAAAGCTGCGGAAGAATATCTATCAAGAGTGATATGATATTTGCAATAAGAATATATACATAAAGAAAGAGAAAGGTCCAAAATTAAGCAAAGCTTGTACATTTAATAAGGCTTGTGTGCATTATGAAATGTAAAAAACCAGGGTTTTCACTCGAGAGTTGAAGGTTAAATAGAGAAGCAAAGATAATTAAAGTGTATGATTGAAGAGTACAAAGTGTCTGGTACTGGTTTGGTACATAGAATAATGAAATAATAAAAAAAATCACAGAACCATTAATGTACATTATCGGGGAGTTGATATACAATACCAGGAAGTAGTAACGACGAGTCGACGGTGGGTAATGTATTTTACACGTAAAAGATTGGAATGACAGTGTCTTTAAGCCTGGATTTATGGCCCTGTAAAAAGGCAAATCTAAACACACGGTAAGAGTGGGGGACCAAACTCAATTCAATGACTCTAATTAAGCCTTCTTCCCCATTCCAATTAGTGATGAAGTTAATTTTCCATTGTATTGTTAACGTTTCCTGACCCTCGAAACCGACCCAACAGTGCAAAACATTGGATTTAGGAAACTGCTAAGAAATTTCGGATTATATGGGGGTGAATGATCAGTCGTCGATCGGTCTGGTTTTATCAGCAAATTTCTGCTCTGGGTAACATGGACTGAACCCAGAGGCCGTCTTCAGAGTTCAGACTTGGGACACCACTTACAGCACATGGTATCAGAACTCAGAAGTAGTTTCATTCCCATTTTTATATATTTTCTTTTGAAATTATTGAATATAATTGTAGTTGCCAACTGGCTAATTGGTAGAGAGTTGGGGGGATTATGGGTTTCCCAGATGGGCTATCCCTGTTGTTTAGTTTCATGAAACTAAAAAGAAACATATCAAGAAGAAGAAGAAGAAGAAGAGGAGGAGGAGGAACAAAAAAGAAATATTTCATTTCTTAAACAGTACTATTGAAATTTTTTAAAATGGTCTACAAAAAATGGAGATTATTATTAAAGCTTTTAAAGTAACAAGAAGTCTAATAAAATTCCTGAGTTAAAATGAGTTTTTTCCTTACTGTTTGGCTCGGTTCAAGTTAAGAGTTTCAATTGGAATAGGGTTATTAGCATGAGAAATCAACAAAGTATATATGATATGAGCATTCTTTTGAACAAAATTTAGAAACCGGTGCAAAATAACCCTGACATGAGTCCATAGTTTGGAGAAATTTAGGGATTTAGGCTCAGTTTGGAAGAAGTATAAATACAAATATGTAGAGTGTAAAATCTTGTATTTTGTATTATTTTGTATGTATTTACACTCTATATATTTGCATTTGTATTCCTTCAAATTGAGGCTCAGTTTGGAAGGAATACAAATGCAATTATGAAAAATGCAAAACATTATGTTTTGTATTATTTTACTTGTATTTATACTGTACAAATTTGCATTTGTACTTGTTGAACATGGGCCACCGAGATTAAAACAAATCATTAATTGCATATAAAAGAAAGAAAAACTAATTGTTTCCTAAAAGAATATTGCTGTTTTAAAGTGTTAATTTGCATGTAAAATGGCTGTGGAAAATGAACATTTTCCAAAGAAGTAAGTATCGATTATTTCTTCTAATTTTAATTTCTCTAAGTCTGAAAACTCGTGTGTTTCTCAACTCTACCATTCAGGCATTTTTGCTAAATAAATCGAGAAAATCAGGAAAGTTAGGAATATGATTTATTTCCAAACAATTTGGACAATCAGAATATTTTCAAACAATTTGGATATCGGATTGAATCGGATGTTGATCCCGATCTATTTACAACCCTAGGCCTAAGCTATTTGGTCTCAAAAGCCAAAGTTATTTGTATATTTAGACAGCATAATCATGAGTGTGGATAAAAGAATATTTACAATTAATCAATATTCTTTTAATCAGAAAAAGACAATTAAGGACCAGGTAATGTGTCATGTGCAGGGAACTGGAAAACAGCCGAGACTGTTTTTCTCTAAACAGCCAAAGTGGCTGTTTTTTCCCTCTTGCCATGCCCATAGTAATTGCTGAAAGCTGACAAAAGATCTGCCATGCATGCACAAACCCGGGTTACCACGGCAAGCACACACACCCACAGCAATTAATCTTCATCATCCTGCTGCTGGAGATAAAACATTAATAGATAGTTAGAAATTGCATTACTATATTAGTAATTATTTTTATGAGAATTTTCTTCTTAGGCTGAGTTTGGAAAGAATATAAATATAAATATTTCCAGTGCAAATATATAGAAAATAATACAAAATGTAAGGTTTTTCATTCTATATATTTACATTTATATTCTTTCTAAGAGTATAAATACAAATAAATATAAAATATAAGGTTTTGCATTCTATATACTTTGTATTATTTTTTATTAATTTGTATTTGTATTGTACGCACCATATTTATATTTGTATTCTTTTTAAATTGAGCCTTAAACATGAAGAGTGTAAAACTTGCATTTTGTATTATTTTGTATATATTTGCATTGTATATATATTTAACATTTTTGCATGCTAAAATCTAACCATTAATTTCATTGAGTTGAAGGGTGCATGATAACTAATAAGAAAGCGGGAACATGACGCTGATAAAAA